AATTAAGAAGCACTATAAGATAGACACTAGCAAATTATTGTCTTTCTCCTCTGGGTATCCGACAAGGCATCGCCATAACCTCTCCATTACGCCCTTTCAAACACGCAATAACTGCTTCACGTATTCATTTTTTCCGAGAACAGTCGGGGAATGGAACAACCTAACTAATGACGTTGTTTTACAGCCATCACTTGAAAAGTTTGCCTTGTGTTTAACTGCATAATATATATGTGTGCATATGTGTGTATGTATATGTATGTATATATGTGTATATATTTGAAATTGTGTAGAATTATCACCCGTGTGTTTTTTTTTTCTTTTCCAATCCTTGCGTATGTGACACTGTTTCTGGAATAATTATTATCCTGTACATTTTGGATTGTATTTTGTCGCCATGGTTGATCATGTATTCGTGAATTTTGTATATCAGTTTTTCCTTTTTTTTGTAATTCCGAGAACGGCACTTTGCTTCCGTATTTTGTTCTTGTTCAACTAGGAACATTTTATGATTGTACTTCCCACCCTGCTATAATCCCTCATGTGGGATTGCAGTATCTACAAATAAAAAAAAATAAACAGTTAAATCCCAACACGAAGTCTCCTGTCTTCAGCCACGTCACGACACCGTGACAATTTTGACACGTGTTTATATGAAAAAGAACGATGATAGGAATGTTTTGTAGATTCCAGCTAGTGGGTCAAATGGTTTTTCGGGACGACAACGAAGAAGGCATCTTGCTGTACAGCTGATCCTGAATACGCTCTTTTCACTGCCGTAAGCTGCTGTCATCTTTTGTTCGCGTCGCACGACGACACTGGTGGAGGAGCTGGGCCGTGACGCTGTCCGATGCTTGACACTCCTAGTGGGAGCCGTTCATCCAGCCCGGACGTGCCTACTGCAACCCCTGTCCATCGATTTAGTCGTCGGCTACGAGGTATTCCTCCAGACTGCAACCCCTCGCAGAAAACCTCTACCAGACATCTAGAAATGGCTAACACCAGCCTGTACTTTGAACTTTGAACTTTATTTATTTCAACATTTGGGATGCTGAGGGCCGTGGTCAAAAAGCCTCTAATGGGCTTGACTGGGACCACGACCCCTTACAAATGGGCAGCATAGGCAACACTTTTATTGCAGTGACAATGTACAAAAATTTGAGCAAGCATAAAGCATAATAAGCATAAGCATAATAAAGCATAAGCATAATAAAGCATGAAGATTGAAAAGTAATGAACTCTAAAAAATGACCGTAATTATTTCCTTACACAAACGATATCAATAAAAGAGTGTAACGATGCAAGAAAAGAAGATCGCAAGATTAGCACCAAAGTAAAAAAAATATAAATAAGAAAATAATGGGGCATGTGCCCATACGCTTACTACACTTACAATCAGAACAGTCACTCAAATGGAAGACGATATGGCATTCAAGTGAAACGGCAGGAGGAAGCGCAGCATTTCTTTGCCGTAGTTAGTGCGCGTGCGCGGGATAAGCTATGTGTGATTGAAACGCGTGTTATAAAGAACTTTGCGGTGGTTTAGGTTGGCAATGGTTCCTAAAAGGTTGTCGCCTTTTAATCCTGCATGGTAGCGTTTCACAAGCATTGCGCGGTAGTATTCAGGTAGAGGTAGCAGCTTCATGTCGTGAAATATGGGAGTGGTGTGACTGCGATATGGAGCATTTGCAACGGCACGAACAGCCCTTTTCTGTATGACGTCCAGTTTGCGGATATTTGTTAGAGTTGTCGTACCCCAAACCAGATGACAGTAGTTGACGTGAGATAAAAACAGGGATTTATAGATGAGAAGTTTAACTGCCTTAGGTAGCGAGAAACGCACCCGGGATAATATGCCCGAAATCCTTGATATAGTGCCACATAGTTCTTCAGTGTGTGCGTTCCAAGACATGTGTTGATCGAAAATTATTCTCAGACACTTAATACGCTGTACTATCTCAAGTTCTGAACTGCCAAGTTTTAATGGGACACGACAAGGGGTTTGTTTATTTTTCGGCCTGAAATATACAGCTTTTGTTTTTGATGTGTTAAGTTTTAAACAGTTAACGCATGTCCACGTGGCCAACTTCGCCAGTACCTCATTTGCGTCATTAATTAAGTTTGTATAATTTTCAGCAGTAAGAAGCAAGGTTGTATCATCAGCGTATATAATACATTTTACAGTCGTGTCAATTTTTACAATATCATTTATGTATATACAAAAAAGCAGAGGCCCTAATATGCTACCTTGTGGTACACCCGCTGAAATTTTTAGTAAATTGGAGGTACAATTGCCGACGACTACTTCCTGCTGCCGGTACATTAGGTATGATTCAATGAGTTGTAAGAAAACACCTCGAAATCCATAGTGTGCACATTTCTTTAGCAGCGTAATGTGATTTATTGTGTCGAACGCCTTTGAATAGTCTACGAAGATGCCTAAAGTGTGTAGTTCGCGTTCAAAAGCATTTAGTATAAATTCTTTCTGTTCTAAAAGAGCATGTTCAGTCGTACGGCCTTTGATAAAACCAAACTGCGAAGGAGTGATGATGTGGTGCTTATCTAGGAAAGAAACCATACGCTTTTGAATTAGTTTTTCCAGACCTTTTGAAATTACTGGAAGTATAGATATCGGTCGGTAATTGTTTAGTGAATTTTTATGTCCTTCTTTGTACAGCACAACCACTGTTGCAACTTGTAACTTTTGTGGGAAAATTCCGGTGGAAAAAGCAAGATTAAAGATATGCTCTAATAATTCAGCAATGATATCTAATACGTGTTTGATGGGTTTAATCTGTATGTCATATGCGTCACAACACGTGCTGTTTTTCACAGACGAAAAAGCATGTGAAAGTTCACCAGCTGTTGTTGGCGCCAAAAACGCGCTCTCAGATATACTGTCAGACAAATATGTGGTACAAGCTGAATTGTACTGTTCCTTCGCTAGCGATACAAAATAGTTATTGAATAAGTTTGCTAAATCATCCTTACAAATAACGTCACCGTCTATCACAAGCTCAGTAGGCCTGAAGTCATCACCGTTACGGCCAAGAAATTCGTTTAGTCTAGACCAAGCCAAGTCTTGTTTATTCATTACATCTTTGTTGAAGATGCTGTTTAAGTACGTTCTCTTTTTGTAACGCAACAGGCTGTTTACTTTATTTCGCTGGGCTTTGAAACGTTTAAGCGTTTCTTCGTTCTTGTTTTTCAGGAAGTTTTCGAACAATTTATTTTTACGTTTTATTTCATTAAGACAACTTTTAGTCAGCCACGGTTTTTCGGCTTTGCGCGTATGTTTGAGCTGTTTGTACGGAAAGCATTTCTTGTACACCCTTATCAGTTTGTCATGGAAAATATCATAGGCGGCTTCAGGTTCTTGCTCGCAATACACGCCTGACCAATCGGTTAACGATATCTCCTTGCGAAATGCAGCCAGTGTAAATTCATTAATATCTTGAATAACTATCGGTTCTCTGAGTTGGGCTGGCGCACAGTTTACGGTTTCGTTTATCAGCATAAATATAGGAAGGTGGTCACTGATGGGTGCGCTTAGTACGCCGGACAAACATTTCGAAGCTTCTATGTTAGTAATGAACATATCTATTAATGTCGCAGTGTTTTTGTCAATGCGGGTTGGCATGGTGATAACATTAGAAAACCCATTGGATTCAATAACTTGACAAAGTTCTAACTGACTTTCTGATGGCTTTGCAACATCGATATTGAGATCACCTGCAAGAACTAGTGTACTACCAGTGTCTCCAACCCAACGCAAGTATGTATCTAAGAATACTAAGAAGTTCGACTTGTTACCACTAGGAGGGCGGTATAAAACACCATAAACAAAACCGTCACTTTGTACAGTCAATATTTCATAATCATTAGTGACATGCGAAAACTCGTGAACCAGCCTACATTTTACTGAGTTTTTAGCCATCAACAAAACACCACCTCCTATTTTTGTTGGGCGATTCAAAAAGAAGGTTTCATAGCCGGGTGATCTTAGAACCTCAGATTCATCCCTGTACCATGTTTCCGTCATCATAAGAACATGAGGTTCAGAGCGTATAGTTGAAATAAGGGCGGTTATTTGGTCTTCTTTATTTCGCGCAGATTGTGCGTTGAGATGAAGGAAGGACAAGCCATTATTTTTCGTGGAAAGTAATGCGCCTAATTTTTCGAGTGTCACGTAATCTTTGTCTGCCATCTTTCTCTTTAGGTAACAGTCGCTTTGGTCATTAACAGTGGCTATTCTCTCATTACTGAGAGGTCCTGCACGCTGGCGATGACGTGAACTCGGCTGTCCTCAGTTTTTCGCACCTTGATGCGACCATTGTCCACCCACAGAAACTTCCATTGCTTTTCTCTCTTTAGTGAGAGCGCTTGTGCAAACAATCTTTTGTTGTTGGGTGTGAGGTGGTCATTAACGTACACATTGGCACCTTGTGACTCAGCAAAACCGAGTGACTCGGTTGTTAGACGTGCCCTGCGTGCTTTACGCAAAAATTCATCCTTCTTGACCCGAGAACAAAACCTCGCGATTATGTTTGTGTCCTTTTTTGCTGGCACGCGATGCACAGCGTCGATATCATCCTTTTTTATGGGACAGTCAATTACATCACCCACTTTTTGAAGAATAGTGGCGCAATCCTCCCCCTTTTTTAATGGCACACCCTTTATCTCAACGTTGTTAAGTCGCGAACGCTGTTCCATGTCAGCCAGTTTAGCAGCCAGTTCATCATTTGATTTTTGAAGAGACTTGTTTTCGGCTGAGGTAAGCTCATGCTTCTTTTTCATTTCTTCATAAAAAGTGCTGATGGCAGAGACACTTTCACGAAGCTGTTCAATTTCGGCTCGAAGCTGTTGCACTTCGCGTGACAGCTCAGCATTTGACGGCATCATATAAACGTAACAGTGACTACAGCACAATAACCACTGGCAGCAGCAGTCGCGACAACAAGAGTAGAAGCAAAAATCAGCGGTGCAATGAATTCACAACCAACCTGCGCAAAGGAAGAACGTTGCTCAGTGGACTCGACTTCCTGCTGCCACGACCGCCACTGCCAAAATGTGGCAACACGAGCACAGTGTTGAGCCTAAGTAGTGTCTCCGGTAGGTGTCCTCGCAGTCCGTGCTTGCGCAGAAAGTTCGTTCTTTGTGGCTGTAGCGACAGGGTAGTGACGTTGCTTGACCAGATATTCCAAGTAGACGGGTCGGGAAATCCAGAGAAATATCCCGATAGCCCGAAGAGCCGAACTAGACAACTGTCACGATATGCACCAGTCAGCACCTGCGCAAAGGAAGAACGTTGCTCAGTGGACTCGACTTCCTGCTGCCACGACCGCCACTGCCAAAATGTGGCTACACGAGCACAGTGTTGAGCCTAAGTAGTGTCTCCGGTAGGTGTCCTCGCAGTCCGTGCTTGCGCAGAAAGTTCGTTCTTTGTGGCTGTAGCGACAGGGTAGTGACGTTGCTTGACCAGATATTCCAAGTAGACGGGTCGGGAAATCCAGAGAAATATCCCGATAGCCCGAAGAGCCGAACCAGACAACTGTCACGATATGCACCAGTCAGCACCTGCGCAAAGGAAGAACGTTGCTCAGTGGACTCGACTTCCTGCTGCCACGACCGCCACTGCCAAAATCTTCTTGGCACCAGTCCTCCCGCTCCATCCCAGGTAAAGTTTTTTCAATCGCTAGAGCCTAAACGCTTTGGTGGTGGCGCACACGAAGATGTAGAAGACTGGTTAGACCACTATGACCGTGTTGCGAAGATCAACCACTGGTCTGCTCAGGAAAAACTCGGCCGGGCCTACTTCTATCTCGATGACAGCGCTCGTACTTGGTACGAGAACAGAGAAGGCAACCTGTCCACATGGACCGACTTTCACCAGATGATGGTTGAAACTTTTGCCAATGTTGACAGACGTGACCGCGCCCACCAACTACTAGAGCTAAAGGTCCAAAAACCCAATGAAACGGTCGCCATGTTTGCCGAAGACATGACACGTTTATTTCGGAGGGCTGACCCGCAGATGACTGAAGATAGGAAGTTGCGCTACCTCATGCGTGGCGTGAAAGAGCAGCTGTTCGCCGGAATTCTGTGCAACCCGCCAAGCACTGTAGAGAACTTCATCAAAGAAGCGTCAGCTATCGAGCGGGCCCTTCACCAACGCTGCCGACAATATGACCACTTGTGCAGCAGCCCCCAAACTCAGGCCACCGCTGTGACGTTTGACAGTCATAGCTCCTTACGTGACATGATTAGAGAGATTGTTCGTGAAGAATTGCAAAGGCTGCGGACTCCGGTAGTGGATACACCCATGGCATCAGTCGCTCAAGTCGTCCGTGACGAAATTCGCCAAGCATTCTCGACAGCCGATCCTGCCCCCGAACAACGTCCTATGACGTACGCCGCCGCTCTTCGAAGCTCCTCACCCGCTCCGCCTTCATACCACCCGCCACCTGCAACTGTTCCTTGGTCACCACCACAAGGGGAGACATCGTGGCGCCCATCCATCCAGCCCCCATACGACCAGTCGTCTTCTGGCTTGTCATGGCCTTCGTCGCGTGAGGAGTCATCACGGCAACCACAGCTTCGCCGAACAGACACCTGGCGCACTGCCGACAGGCGTCCACTCTGTTTCAACTGCGGAGGTGTAGGCCACATAGCCCGCTATTGCTGGCACCGCGCCGATCCGTCTCGCCCTCTCAGGCCACGGTTTGACATTCGACATGCCAACGAGTACGTATCCCGCCATGGAGATGTCGGTTCTCAAGGACCTCCGGTACCTCGACACCCATTCGACGGCCGCCGTAACCATGATGACGAGGCTATAACTGATTGCGAGCCGGTCTTCCGACACCGACCACACTCTCCTTCTCCTGCCCGATCACCTTCGTTGCAGCGCCGCACTTTTGTCGACACCAGAGGAGTGAGGTCACCCAGCCCACACCGGGGAAACTGAGGGCAGCGACCTCAGGGGGTAAGGTTGCAGGCTGTCAAGACGAAGAAAAAAAGCCCCCATTACTCCCACCTCAGGACGCTGTAAAGCCGACAAGATGTAATACCGACGAAACTGTGACCCCAGGCCTTACCGTTCTTGTGGATGGACAGCAAGTCAAAGCTTTAGTCGACACCGGGGCTGACTTCTCTATTATCAGTGAAGACCTTGCCGTACGCCTCAAGAAAGTAAAGACAGCGTGGACGGGACCTCACTTAAAAACGGTAGGCGGCCAATTACTGATGCCTGTCGGAATGTGCACAGCAAGGCTCGACATTGGTGGCTCTACTTTCGTGGCGACGTTCGTCTTTCTCGCTTCATGCTGTAAAGACCTGATTATTGGAATGGATTTTTTGAGAGAACATGGCGCCGTGATCAATATCCCTGACAGTGTCATTACATTTCGCATCAACAGCCCTACTTTAGTCGATTGTTCAGAGCTGAGACATAAGTCTTGTTCAGGGCCTTTGCGTCTGACGGATGACGATGTGGTCGTCCCGCCACGATCGTGTACGCTTGTTTCGGTGGCAGGGGATGAGCCGTTTGATGGCGACAGCGTTGCTGACCAAATAAGCTCACTGATATTTAGCCACGGTATTTCAGTTGCTCGAGGTCTTGTCACTGTCACTGCTGGACGCACAAACTTGCTGCTCACTAACTTCAGCACTGAGCGCCGACATCTCTCGAAGGGTACAGCCGTCGCTTATATTGACACTACTGCAGAAATCCAAGGCAGTTTATCGGCCCTAGACGAAGCACCTCAAGAAGAATCACTACCTAATCTTGGCGTTGGTACTACGTTGTCAAGAGATGAACGAACGAGACTTCTTGAGCTGCTAGCTGAATTCCAGGACTGCTTTTCATCGAAATCACGGGTCGGTCGAATGCCGCTAACAAAGCATCGAATAATTACCCACGACGCAGCAAGGCCTATACACCAGAATCCTTATCGTGTGGCTCCATAGGAACGGGAAGTGATACAGCAACAAGTCGCTAAAATGCTGGAAGATGATGTGATTCAGCCATCACAAAGCCCGTGGGCATCGCCTGTTGTATTAGTTAAGAAAAAGGACGGTACCCTGCGTTTTTGCGTGGATTACAGGAAGCTGAATCAAGTGACTAAGAAAGATGTGTACCCGCTTCCACGTATTGATGACTCCCTCGATAGGCTTCGAAACGCTCGCTACTTTTCTTCATTGGACCTCACAAGTGGATATTGGCAGATCGAGGTAGACCCAAGAGATCGGGAAAAAACCGCTTTTGCGACGCCGGATGGTTTATATGAATTTAAAGTTCTACCGTTCGGTCTGTGCTCAGCGCCCGCTACTTTTCAAAGGCTCATGCACACTGCACTTTCAGGGTTAAAATGGAAGACCTGTTTAGTTTATCTAGACGACGTCATAGTGTTTTCCCCAACTTTTGACGAGCATCTCAAGAGGCTAGAAGTTGTTTTTCGAGCCACACGCTCCGCAGGCCTCACATTGAAACCAGAAAAATGCCACTTTTGTTTTAAAGAACTGCTGTTTCTTGGTCATGTCGGCAGTTGTACTGGCGTTCGGCCTGATCCCGAAAAACTTGCGGCCGTGGCACAGTTCCCAGTACCGTCCGATAAGAAAGCTGTCAGGCGCTTTCTGGGCCTATGCGCCTACTATCGCCGGTTCATCGCCGACTTCGCACGGATTGCGTCGCCGTTAACTCGCCTCACTAGAGACGACGCCACCTTTGAGTGGAATCACGAACAGCAAGCAGCGTTTAATGACCTCCGCCAACGTCTTCAAACACCTCCAGTGCTTGCTCACTTCGACGAACAAGCGCCAACAATGCTTCACACTGACGCAAGCAATGTAGGCCTCGGAGCTGTGCTTGTGCAGTGGCAAGAAGACATGGAACGAGTGATCGCCTATGCAAGCAGGACGCTAACACGCGTTGAGGCTAATTATTCAACAACTGAGAAAGAACGCCTCGCCGTGGTCTGGACAGTTATGAAATTTCGCCCGTACTTATATGGCCACCTTTTCAAAGTTATAAGTGACCATCATTCCCTCTGTTGGTTGACTAATTTAAGAGATCCAACCGGCCGATTAGCACGGTGGAGTCTGAAGTTACAAGAGTTTGATATGACGGTCATACACAAGTCTGGGAAGCGCCATACGGACGCCGACTGCCTGTCTCGATCACCAGTACAGTCAGCTTCTCTTTCTGATGACGACGATATGGCCTTCCTTGGTGTTCTCGACGCGTCCACGATTGCCCAACAACAACGAAGTGACCCTGAATAGCTTGATTTGATTAATTACGTGAACGGACGTTCTTCGAGGGCACCTAGAGTCTTTGCAAGAACATTATCGTCGTTTTGCTTACGCAATGGCGTCCTCTACAAGAGAAACTTTTCGTCCATCGGAGCTCCCTATTTGCTCGTTATTCCTGCACCCCTTCGAACTGAAGTGCTCCAAGCATGTCACAATGAGCCGACGTCTGGCCATTTAGGCTACACTCGCACATTGGCAAGAGTACAGCAGGGATACTACTGACCACGACTCACAACAGCCGTCAAGCACCACGTTCACACTTGCATCGATTGCCGGCGACGCAAGTCACCTCCTAAGAGACCCGCCGGTCAGCTGCAACCAGTTCAGGTTCCACGTGTACCGTTTGAACAAATAGGAATGGATATTTTGGGACCCCTTCCTACTTCTACTGCAGGGAATCGCTGGGTTATAGTCGCAACGGACTACCTAACCAGGTATGCCGAAACAAAAGCTATCCAAAAGAGCACCGCAGTGGAAGTGGCGAGATTTTTCATAGAAAATATTGTGCTACGCCACGGTGCTCCGACTATCGTGATCATGGACCGCGGAACAGCATTTACGGCAGCTATTTTAGACCACGTCCTGAGGCTTAGTGGAACGACTCACCGTAAGACCACTGCGTACCACCCGCAAACAAATGGACTAACGAAGCGCCTCAACAAGACGATTGAAGACATGCTGTCGATGTACGTGGATGTCCAACATAAGAATTGGGACGAGATTTTACCCTATATCACGTTCGAATACAATACGGCTAAACAAGAGACGACTCGCATGACTCCATTCAGCTTGGTTCACGGACGGGAGGTACGGACTATGCTGGATGCGATGTTGCCACATGAATGGGACGCTACCGACACAGGCGCTGACGTGTTCACTGAACGCTCGGAAGAAGCTAGACAGCTCGCCCGCTTACAGATCCATCAGCGACAAGATTATGACGCAGGCCGCTACAATGCTCGCCATAGAACCGTAACGTACAAAATCGGTGACAGAGTGTGGGTTTGGACACCCGTACGAAAACGTGGACTGTCCGAGAAGCTGCTAAGGCGATATTTTGGGCCATACCGAGTATCGCGCCAGCTAAGTGACGTCACCTACGAGGTTGTCTCCGACGGTCCCCAATGCCCGAGGCGTCGCCAGTACCAGCCTGAACTTGCTCATGTAGTCCGTATGAAGCCGTATGTGAGTGACTGACTGCACGTTAAAAAAAATACTGTGCGTCTGAATCAGCATCGGGGCGATGCTCTTATAAGGAGGGGCAAGTGACACGTGTTTATATGAAAAAGAACGATGATAGGAATGTTTTGTAGATTCCAGCTAGTGGGTCAGGTGGTTTTTCGGGACGACAACGAAGAAGGCATCTTGCTGTACAGCTGAACCTGAATACGCTCTTTTCACTGCCGTAAGCTGCTGTCATCTTTTGTTCGCGTCGCACTGCGACAATATAATAGTTGATAATATTTTCACTTTATTTAGTGCATACTTCGTATACACTACATAAATTGAGATATTGAAAGTGAATGTACGCAAAAATGATAAATTCACGATCTTTGGTTGCATAAAGTATATTGCATCAGTGTCACACGAGCACTTTTGCGCGTCAAAAGGTTTGATTTGGATTTATTGATTGATATGTGGGGTTTAACGTCCCAAAACCACTATATGATAAGGTTTGATTTGGAATTGCGGCCGTTTGGGCTTGTTGGCATGACATGACGATAGTTATAGCGCGAGAACAGAACGACGACGGGTCTGATTTTTTGATCGCGATCAACAATGATCGTTGCTAAGCGGTGCAAATTAATCTGGATCGAGTTTGCCCGAAATGGGAGTCAAACCGCGCTTCGGGAGCCAAATCACGATCAAAAGTGCCCGCATGATACCGGCAGTGTACATGACTTCCGTCACAATTAGTGCGGCGAAAGATGCGATGGCAAACAGGACTACAAAAGAGAAGACTGCAAACCCCGCTACTTACCCGATCATGCAGCGTGAGGGGTGGTCAGGTGGAAGCCGTTGCCGCCACCGAACACCTTGCTTAGTTGTACACGCATGAAGAAATAAAAAAAAAGGTACACGGACAGGAGGGGGCACCGCAGAATACAAAGCCGATTAAGGCAGCCACGCAGACTGTAAATAAACTGAAAATTTTCATTGTTAACTTCTGATGAAGGGACCGTGGAGGATACCTCCAATATTTTGAGCACGAAACTATCACGTGACTATAACAGCCCATGATGCAAGGTGCGGCCCGATGTTGACAATGTATAGCCTCCGAGACACCTAGAGCTAATGCCACTCTTAAAGGCTATTGCTTGTTTTAAAACTAAGTAATTTTAAATATTCTTCACGCAAATTGTAATATTATATTTAATCGTAACCTATTTTTGTTTTGGTGAGATTTGATGACGCAACTTGAAAACCATTGCAAAAACGCATCATGAGGGTGTAAAAAAAGGAAGTGATGAGTAGTGCCAACGCCTCGTAGATTTATTGTGCCGTATGAGCGCAAAACACCAGTCATTTATGGCGGCGCTGCATACGTAAGGGTAGGAGTCTTTGTACTTAGCCTTTGAGATCGGCAATTTTGGCGTTTGCTACTAAATTCAGAGCATGCCTTGTATAAAAAAAGTTGTTTGTTGAATGACGGTGTCGCTTACGTAGGATTATTTATAATTACGTTTACGCCTTTTTAAAACTTGTTTACGTTATTTTTGTTGCACATAAGCTCCAAAAACGTAAAAACTTATTTGAAGACATCTTCTACTTGAGTGGCGCCACCACCGTAGTTTTGACGACCGCCGCTTCCTAAGTGACTGCCGATAATCCGGCAGGCACGGCAAATCTAGGAGGCGTTGGTAGTGCGTAACTGAAACTTCAGTTGCGCTCACGGAAGAAGGAAAGGTAGGAGAGGCTCTGACGTCACTCCACGGAGGATAGAAAGATCACTCGTTGTGAAGCCGCGATGAAGCCGGAAGTTTGCCTATAGACTGGGCAAATTCTCCTCTCTTGTTTACATCTGAATGTGAAGCAGAAGGCATGACTTTCTCTCCGGCTCGGAAAGCACGTGGGCGGCTCAGCGCGTGTGTCGCGACGATTCGAAACTAATGGGACGGGGTCATCGCTCTGAGCCAGCGGACACCTTCGGCGAAATCACATCGTCCGAGTAGGGAGGAACGGCCGAGTAGGGAGGAACGGAGGAACGGGAGTAACAGGGAGGAACGGCTCGCCGACAACGAAGCATTTACAAGAGAACGCACGCTAGATGCACTGACAACGGCGAGTGTTTTCACGTCATTAATTCAGCAACTGTACAGACAACATGGTCGGTCGTGCGCATTCTACGGTTGCATTCCGCCACGCAGCCGACGCAGCGTCCGGCCACTGTGTCCGTGTTCCGCGTGAAACTCACCGGCGTCCGCCTTCTGCGACCATGGTGACTTTGAGCACGGGGCTAGTGACACTTGAACGTGGTTGCTGTTACGTTGAGATTAGATGCAATGCTTGCGGAATGTGTACCAAGCGGAACAGAAAAGGTGTTTTATTACGCACATGCAAGTTATTACTGTACACACACAACATGAAACTACCTATGTGCACATGGTCCTCATGGTGTCTTGCCGGGCTCAAAAGCATCGTACGTTGTCACAAGCAGGAGCACTGCTCAACCGTCACTGACGTGCAAGGCGTTCATCGTCATTCAGCTACGTCATGGTGTCTAACGCAATTTCGCTGAACACTAGCTGTTTCATCCGCGGCATCCGCCGCACGACACATGGATATGCCCTCCTGGCTCTGGCAGCCCGCGGGTAGCCAGGAGCTGAAAATCGAAGAGCCCCACTGTTGAAACCCCGTGATGGACAAAGGGATTTGTTAACGTTGCTAAGAGTACAGTAACTGCCAGGAGAACACTGCGTAACAAATAACGCGGCACAGAGCACAAATATTGCCCGCCACGGCACTGCACGAGACCTGAGGAGGCACACATTCCACCGCCAGCCGCGACTGCTCAGTATAAGCAGATCCACTGCGCAACACGTTACCATAGCAACGCTGCCATTGTGCCCAGTGAATATGGCCGCCATGATGTCATTTCCGCCACACTTTTCACGCCGCGCGCCGCCTGGGCATGCCCTCGACTACCTTTTCTTCTTCCGTGGTTGCGCTCTACAAGTCATAGCGTTGTCCTGCAGATATTTTAGTGTGTACAGTAATTTGGTCCTTTACAAACAACTATTGTGTCAATTTTTTATGCTGCCTTACCTGTCTTTTTTTTACTGTTAGAAAACCACTTTAAAAATGAAGTTGAAATCAAAAGTTGTGCATTTACGATTTCGACTCACTATTATCGTCATCATCTTCCTAGCACAATAGCATGGAACATCTTATTTTCGCGTGTTTTCGCTCTGCATTCTCGGTGGAAGGGGTCAAGATAGGGGGGCTTTAGTTAAGCGTGAGGAGTCGTTCAAGTGTGACCGATAACGACAATCTAAAGGGAAAAAAAGCAGAGTATCTCCACGCAACAGCTAAGCATCAACAGTGAGCTCATTTGATGCGGATCTTCCTACACAAAATAACGACCACATCAGAGACATCTCAGCACGTAAGTGCATGATCGACGATTTGTGGGCGAACTGGATGCTGTTCACACAGGGATTTCAGCTTTATTTCACCGTTGCAAGTCAAGAAACTGCATCTATCGAACAGAGGGTGATACTTCGACTTTGCGTAGCCGGCGGACCTGTTGCCCTTATCTACAACACTTTAGATTTCCGTCCTCCAACTGAGGTGACAACACAACCAGAAATGAACACTTCATGCACGCTCTACGCTGACACACAACAAAGGGTACACCCTCTGAACCTTTCGCTGCTTAAAGCGGCAAGCTAAATAACGTCTCGGCTCTTCCCCCGCTGCCTTAATCTTAGAAGTGCATGAATGTAACAATGAGCAGCGACAAGATGACCAGGCAACGGACCTCCCCAAATATGAATCACCATTTGTGCGAACTTGGGACAATAGTCCCCAATTGTCATGTACAGAGCTCGCCAAGTTCACCAAGCAGTGGCAGCTCGCACACGACTTCCAGCTTAAATATGCCTGTCTAATTTAATAGTTGACAGTTTGATGAATGCAGCTAAGCCTTCGATGTGTTGTGACCAATTAGAAAAATACTGCAGTTGACCAAATGTGTTTGTCGTCCAGACAACTACATAAATGTGGTGATACTTATGCATGTACATCACGCTGGAACAGAAAGGGAAGCTCTCCTAACTGCTGACAGGTTACCATACCTACTCGGTCGACAACAAACATGCTGCTTAAAAAACCTACCCTGCACTGGCAGACTTAGTAGAAAAAAATGAAGTTAATAAGAAACTACTACAGAGAGAAAGCATCGAAGCTACCTTTACTGAAGAAAGAAGACTCCATTAGGGCTGCAGCCGTTCATGCCTCGAATTCCATAGAAAAAAGGTAGGGTTGTAGAACCAGTAACAGCCAGAACTTACAGCATTGAAATGCACGGTAGCGTGTTAAGAAGAAAGGAGCACACCTGTGACATATGCCTCAGCCGTTTGTGTTGTGACCTACTCGAAAAACACTGCAGTTTACCAAATGTATCAGTCGCCCAGTCAGCTGCATAAACGTGGTGCTACTTCTACACCCACTACATAGAAAGATGCGTGAAGTCATGTGAAGAAAGAATGGCATCTCATTAGCAGCTTTGCCTCAGTTGTGTGTCTTCTCGTTCGACCTACTCGAGCAAGGGAATCGCAATCGGTAGGTGCGTTTGTTCAAGCCAACGTAAGCCTTACAGTCAAAGCAAAGCTCAAGCCAGGCCTTGGACAAATGACAAGAGTCTGGTGGTCTGGTGGCAGTGGTCTGATGTTATTTGTGTGCTGCATAGTGTGTTGTGCAGGCTTGGCATCTCCTTGTTGGCATCTCCCAGATTTGCTGTGGGTGATATTGTTTGCAGATTACTGTGCCCTTTTACGACACTGGCATTTGTGGTTTAGGTTTTCTTACCATCAACACAGTGTTTTCAGCAGGCGTGCTTTCTCTACGTTTGTGTCTACTGTGTTCATTGTAAGTGATCGTCCTTCTGTATTAGTGTGGAATTTCATCGTGGTGCGATTTGATGTTTATATTTGCTTACAGACAGTGCGTTCTGCAGGCCTGGTGTTTGCCGTGAATGATAAATTTGGCAGTGACAGAATAACACATATTTTACGATGGCAAAATTTTTGGCCGATGTTTACTTACACGCAGTTATTAAGAATACACGAAATACTTTCATGACAATGCGAGTTCCCAACAAAGCTGGAAGAGCAGAGCACATGAAATAACTGCTCTATAGCATTTTCATCAATCACAGACACTACCATGTACTTCAGTACTGCAAACAGTTGTCAAGGCAGTTTCGAACCAGAAGGGCACCCTTTTTTGTCCGAAAGCTCAGCATGTCTATACATTTATTTCGTCTTCAACCGTCCTCCTAAAATTTCTGCGATCGACCCGCCTCGCAGAACGTTTGTGACATTCTAGTGTGTGTGTGTGTGTTTTCGCTTGCTCCGGCTCTCTTTTTCTGTCATTCTGCTTTCCTTACCTTTCTGTCTCCCTTCCCAAGGGCAGGGTAGTAAACCAGATACTTGCTTTCTGGTGAAACTCTCTGCCTTTGTTTATACCATATCTTTCTCTCTTTCGTTCGTGATTTTACTTGATTACTATATCCAGTTACTGATTTTCCTGTTTGCATCTTTTTCTCGAATTATTGCATTGCTTTTTATGTTCCCCAGGAGTAAAGGCTCTGTGAAACAGCTGTTTTTCTAGCTCCATGGTTCCTATTTGTTCCACTTCCATAATTCTTGCCAATCGTAGGGTTTTTTGTGGCTGTTGCCTTGCATCATGCAAGCATGTAGGTCCCGTTTTAGTAGGTCTGTTTCTTGTGTGTTTAATCTGAAAGCACTCATTAAAACATGATTGTGGTGATGCATCATAATGGAGGCATAGCTTTATTTGACTACTGCTTGCTCACTGGAAAGTGTAATGGTTCTCATGCTATTTTTACAACCACACAGTAATAATAAAAATAGACAGGTAATTTATTCTTCAAGTCTGCATGCATACATGTTGAGATGAAGCCTGCCTAGAGCAGGCTTTCTGTAGCCTGGAAATTTGGGGTCCTAAAAGGCTTGCTCTT